TCAACGTGATGCCACAGCTAGTAAAGTGAGCAACACCCTGGCTTGCATCCATAGATACTTCTCAAGCAAATCCTGGGATGTCATTCTCCCATTGTACTCGGCCTTAGTGAGGCTGCATATGGAGTCCTGCGTCCAGTTTTGGGCTCCACAATTCAAAAAAGATGAGGAGAAGCTTGAGAGTCCAGAGGAGAGCCACTCGCATGATCAAAGGTCAGGAAAACAGACCTTATGACGAGAGGCTGAAAGCTATGGGACTCTTCAACCTGGAAAAGCGCAGGCTCAGGAGTGGCCACCTATAAGTTTATAAGGGGTGTTCACCAGGATCCAGGGGAACATTTGTTCACCAGAGCGCCCCAAGGGATTACAAGGTCAAACAGTTATAAACTGCTGCAAGACCATTTCAGGCTGGCCATAAAAACTTCTTTAACGTCCAAGCCCTCAAAGTCTGGAATAGCCTGCTGCTGGAGGTGGTTCAAGCACTTACTTTGAATGCCTTCAAGAGAAACCTGGATGTTTTTCTTGCTGGGATCCTATGACCCCAGCTGACTTCCTGCCTCCAGGGCAGGGGGTGGGACTCAGTGATCTTCCAAGGTCCCTTCCAGCCCTAATGTCTATGAAATCTATACAGTAAAGACAATATTGGCAAACTGCAAAGTGATTGTGAAGGTATTTGTGATGACAGTATGTATTGTAGAACTTACTGCCACTGCCAAGAGTTCATTTACCTAGAGGCGGTGACAGGATGAACCTTAATCTCAGATCACCCAGTCTGCCAGGAGACTGATCTAACTTTTCTCTCCTGCCATGACTTTGTTGGTACAATGTTAATAGGAGGCAATACCCCAAGATGACCCTTCAGGTCTCAATCTCTGTCTTCTGTGGGGCTGCAAACCTCCCCTCTACCCCACCCTAGCCACTCCAGATGGAATTCAGAGTTTCTCTTCAGCCTGGTTTGATGCTGCCCAATTCTCTAATGCTCAGCCCTTTGTAGCCTGCCACCTGGATGACTGTAGTTTTAGTCCGACACACACCTCCATCCAGGGGATGGCCTTAGACTGGGCTCACACACCCCAAACACAACTGTTCCAGTCTCTCTTTAGAGCCAGTTTGTGTCCCCTTTACTTTGGGATCAATCTCTCATATTAAAAAGAACAGTTGATCTAATGCTGCTCATTACAGATCCACATTATTCTACTGGTGAGCATACACAGTCCTTGGTAGGATCTCTCTTCTGAGCAAAACAAAGCCCCACCAGGGTGGCACTAACCTTAGAAGGAAGTCTTTATTGCTTCCCTCTGGAATACTCAGCAGCTACTCCATTTCAGGATTTTTCAAAATCCACGTGTAGGCATGCCTCCTCATGCCTCCTTCTTTTGGTCACTCCTACAGTGTTTCTCTGGCAGGGTCAGCCGTACCCGCTT